TGAAGTCCGACAGAAACTTTTGGAAATGAGCATAACGGTACCACAGTCCATGAATAAGAAAGAGGCGATTCAACTATACAAATTGAACTGCCAAGGCCGTGTTTCGACCACCAGCAGTGACGGTACAGTTACACGTACTGGTGACACAAACGAGAATCACGGAATTTTAGAACTCACTTCACAGACTATTGAATCAGCGGATGTTACAGCCAACAACTCAGGCAATGTTAACGCTGCAACTAATATGGAAAGTCTTATTCAGGAGGTCAGAGAGTTGCGAGAAACGGTACACGGATGGCGTCGTTCACCCGATGATGTTGAAAACAACATGGCCGCTGTTCCATCGCGGGGGTCACCTCAGGAGTTTGACAACGTCGCGCCACGTACAGTTACAGTACCAAGCCTTCACGACACGGCTCTTGGACAGGATCGATTTGGTGTAGCTTTGCACGAATTACCTAGAATCGTGCCAGTTTCAGATTCCTTGAAAACCAGTATACTTCAAGGTAAATATGTTAATTTGGCTACCTTACTGATACCAGCTCATGGCAGTTCAGAGAGTCGCACTATTATTGATGCAACGGGTAACGGGATTATACTGAAGGGAAATCCTGACCCTCGACTAAACAAAGTTCTCACTCACAATGAATTCTTGGTGGCGTTCAGCAAATATCAATCAATTATATGCGAAGCGTTTCCACATCGTCGTGAAGAACTTGTTTGTTACCAAGCTCTTATTACCAACATGGCCGTCAATTTTGGGGGTAGCTTGTTTTATGATTATCATGTGGAATTCGCAAACCAAGCTGCAGCATGGCAAGCACAGTGTAATATTAAATGGGATTGATCGATTAGAGACTCTGAAATTTATATGAATCTTACGTCCGGACGTCAATGTAATACTTGTACAGTCTGTGGCAGTACTGGGCACTTGGTTGATTTTTGTCCCCGTAAACAGTTCACTCCCCAGTTTCTACAACGTGGGGATTCCAGCAATGACAGTCGCGGTCGTCCTAAAGTTTTCTGGAATGGTAGAGAGATTTGCAACAATTTCAATTTGGCTTATAAGGGTTGCACCAGGAATCCATGTCCTTTTATTCATGTGTGCACTTCATGCAAAGCCAACCATCCTGTTAATACTTGCTCAAAGTCTATCGCAAAAGTAAGGGATCTTCTGCTGCTCCTGGTAATGTCAACGCTACCCAGTGACTACCAAAGTCAGCCGCCACACCAATCAATGTTGATAAACTAGAAGAGTTATTGATAGTGCACCCAGAATCTAACTTTGTTTCATATTTGTGCAGTGGTTTACGAGATGGTTTTCTGACTGGGATTGAAAATGCACCTACTGATTCATTTGAATGCCGCAATAACTTATCTGCTAGACAGAACCCAGAAGTTGTTTCTCGTTTACTTCAGTTAGAGGTAGATAAGGGGTGTATTATAGGACCCTTTGAATCGTCACCTTTTCCTGTTTACAGAATCAACCCACTTGGGGTGGCTGAAGGGAAATATTCGAAAAAACAGAGACTAATAGTTGATTTATTCGCACCGCACACCAATCCACAGGTTCCCAGTTTAAATGAACTCATAGACAAGGAGACATATTCCATGTCCTATAATAAAATTGATGATGCCTTTCAGGAGATAAAGCGTCTGAATGGGTGTGCTTACATGTGCAAGTTTGACATTACAGATGCCTTCAAACAATTACCACTGCATCCATCGGTATGGCATCTACATGGCATTAAGTGGGATGGGAAGTTCTACTTCTTTGTAAGACTTGTTTTCGGGTCTAGGTCCTGCCCAAAGATTTTCGATAGTCTTTCCCAGGCCATTTGCTGGATTGTGGAACATAGATTTAATGTGAGATTCATCCTACATTTACTAGATGACTTTTTAACCATAGATCCGACAGAGGAAGTAGCTATGAGATCTATGGCAATTATGACCATGATATTCAACTCACTTCGAGTACCTTTGGCAGCTCATAAAACCTTTGGACCTGTGCAAGAGTTAGAATACCTGGACCTCATGCTCAATTCTAAGACTATGACCGTGTTCTTACCAACAAATAAGATGGGCCGGATTACTGCCAAAATCTCAGAATTCTATACTAAGCGCACTGTTACGAAGCGGGAGCTACTATCTTTGTTAGGTCACCTGAACTTTGCAGCCCGAGTAATCATACCAGGCAGGTCCTTCATTTCTTACTAGCTCCAGCCGGCGACGTCAGTTTCCCAATTACATCACCATGTCACGTTCACTACGGCTTGTCGGTCAGAATTATCTATGTGGAGACAGTTTCTTATTTCTTGGAATGGTATACATTTGATTCTGAACAGCCAAGTGGTTAGTTCTTCAGACCTGCATATTTTCACTGACGCATCATCTACTAAAGGATTTGGGGGCTATTTCCAGGGGAGTTGGTTTAGTCAAGTATGGCCACCACAGTTGCTCTCCGTGCGACATGATAAACTATCTATGGCGTTATTAGAACTCTATCCTATTGTAATTGCGGCAATGCTGTGGGGAAGGCATTGGTCTCAACAGAGAATTCGCTTTAACTGTGACAACCAGACAACAGTTCATGTGTTGAAGAAAGGAAGAGCTTCATCACATTGCCACACCATTAATGCTCTCTTGCGCCGCTTAACCTTAACGGCCATGAAACATAATTTCATTGTGTTGGCACAGTTTGTTCCTGGCAGGCAGAACTCTATTGCTGACGCTTTATCACGCTTTCAATTGCAGAAATTCCACAGTCTGGCACCAGAGGCAGAACTGAACAAGACACTGTGTCCACCGTTTTGCAAAGTAACACTTATTTAGGGATTGAAGTGCGTGAGTTGTCAAGTGCAACAATATCACATAGAACAAGGCAGGTGTATGACTCTGGCTTGGCCCTCTTTACCAATTTTCTGTCTATGCACAATGTACCATGTTCAAATTTTAATTTACCAGTGCTTTCTGAGGATTTATTGTTGTTGTTTATTACACACTGCTACAAACATTTGCACCTCCGAGAATCGACTATTAGACTTTATCTTGCTGGTATACGATTCAAGTACATTGAGGATGGGGTGACAAATCCCTGGCAGAGTTCAGTTAATATACCACTGTTGCGTGTAAACTTATTACTCAGAGCCATCAAGCGTGATCAGGGACAGTGTTCCAGGACACGGCTTCCTTTCACTTCAGCTAATATTTTTTCAATGTTTTCAAGGTTGCAGGCAGGACTGTTTACTGGTTTTGCCGACATTCTTATGCAAACTGTTATTTTGCTAGCCTTTTTCGGATTTATGCGTTGTGGGGAATTCTCTGTTTCATCTAAATTTGATAGTAATGTTCACTTATGCATAGGCGATGTCAGTTTTAGCGCTGATGGTCAAGCTTCCCTTAGATTGAAGTCTTCTAAGACTGATCCGTTTCGTAAAGGGGCAGTTATTAAATTTTACAGTAATTCTCGGATGTGCCCAGTTCGCACACTACAGCGTTACCTAACTTTTAGGGCTGCTATGCAACCTTCACCTTCGTTAGACCACCCCCTTTTTGTAACTGCAGACGGACAGCCTATGACTATGTCTATTTTCCTTCAGTTTTTGCATCAAATTTTACTTGCATTGGGATTAGATACAACTCAGTATTCTGGCCATTCTTTCTGAATTGGTGCCGCTTTCTCAGCAGCTGAAGCAGGGATCCAGGATCACATGATAAAGGCCCTGGGACGATGGTCATCTGACAGCTATGTCAGGTACATTCACACAACAGATACCTCTATCGGTCATGCTCATGCAGTATTGAGCAACAGCTGTTATCACGCTATCACGCTTAATTTCATCTTGGGGGCATTGCTGCAATTATTTATTGCAGCATATTTCGGGGGCTTCGTATTAGTGGATTATACTCATTTGTTCCCCCAAGATTTATTTCCTTAGTGTATTTTTAGTATGTATTTTTGTCATCCTTGTGTATATAGTTTCACGCAAGTGTTTTCTCTTAGTTTATTTATAGTATGTATTTATTTTCATCCTCATGTATATTAACCTACCATACTTGTAGCTATGGCTCCCGCCATTTCTACCTTGCCAGGCAGCTTCCGCTGCCTTACTAACCCTTACGTGGTCTCGGCTTACGCTGTCTCTGCAAGTATGTGCAGCCTCCGCAGCACTACTGATAACTTACTTACCTCAGGTAGTCAATAGCCTTCGCTGTTCTACCAGGTAGTCTTATCTCAGCTACCACAGCTTCACCTCATAATCATTACTGATTACTAATAGTTAACATTTATTTATCTTTATCGCAGTTTGTTTTAAGAAGATTTCTGTATGTTTTGTTACCAGGTGCTAAAGGTCATTAGTACTGTCACTAACTGACCTATCTGGGGGGCCCGCTGTGGGACACGTTATCTTAGATAGCTTAGTTACAGTTTGTTAGGCAGTCAGTCATTTTCAACTTTGTACAGGCAGATTGTCCCAGCAGCGTGCCCCCCCTTGATGCCAAATAAAGTTCAGTTTGCAATATTGAGTGTGTCATAAATATACTTTCTATGGAAAAAAGTACTACAACACTACAATTCAATATTGACACATTTGTTTCCATCCTGGATCTTAATTTTAATTTGTTTAGAACAACAATCATTTGAACCACACATTTCTCTGAATTCTGCATGTGGTGTTGCAGTCACTGGTTCAGGCGGTGGCTGTTCATATCTTTCAACCTTAGGCTTGTGTACAGAATCGTCAATTACGATGGCTGAAGTACTTGCTTTCGCTAGTGGAGGTTGGAGACCATCATATACGATTTTCTGAACAGAGTTACTCGTTTATATGTTCTCAACCCATCATCCGATCTGTGACCAGTGCGTTTTTTGATTAGTTGCTCATCAAAGTCTTTTTCATACAACAGTTGCCGCAGTAATATCAGGGGGAAATCTTCTCTCTGGGGTTCTCCACACGTGTCAGGGGGGAATCTCGTCGTCTCTCTATCGCGTCCCCTTGAGGTACGGGATCGGGAAAGTCACTTAAACTTTACAGTCAAATAAGACACAACGAAATACGTTTCAACTCTCGTCTTAGTCGGTCAGTTGATCACCCCTATAAGA